ACCATATATTTGTTTTTAGATTGACAATAATTTGCTTAGAATTAATTTAAAAAACGTTGTTTTATTCAATTAATTCGCTACTCTACGACCGAAAATAGACCGATAACCGGTTATAGCCAAGCCTAGATTGCAGAGAGAGGTTAGGGGGGGACTACGAGCCCAAGGCCTACGTATGTAAAGGGCCCAAAAGCTCTTCTCGGCTTAAAATTACATCGAGTGATAATTTGTACTTTTTAAAGTACCTACAAGAATATTTTTCTTTTTTCTTGTTTAAACTAACGGGCATTGAGGCACCCGCCTACCATGTTTACCACTATGGGCACGGTAAGTGGTGGTACACGGCCAGATTGTGTAATTTGTTTAAATTGGTTTTCTTATATATTTTTATAATTTTAAAGAATTTTTTTCGTTTTTAAGGGCCCACAACCATGTATTGGTCCCAGAAGGTCTTAATCCGGGTTGGTTATAGCAGTGGTTCTCAAATTAGTACGAAATCATGGGCCCCTAGGTAAGACTTGAATTGCATCCGAGACTCTTTTAATACATATGCTCACTAAGAAACAAAATTGTATTTACGATTTTAATCGCACCGTTTTGCAACACAGATGTTTTCGAAAAAATTTAAAGAGTATCCACGCTACACGTACTCGGGGATACATTGGTATTTGAATATATTTGGCACGCTACACAAATAAGAAAAATTAACCGTTTTGCTGACAGCGGTTTTGGTTGTCGGTGACGGGTGTGACGTTTCGGACGAAATATTAGCAGGACACCCGACGATAAGACGTTAAAACACAATACAAATAGAGGTATCGTTTGATTTCAATTTTTTGATGCGCTATCTTCCCATTACGTACAACTTAATTAAATTTACTGATTTTACGATGACACCACACCCGCATGTGTTGTCTTCGTCTAGCAAACGTAAAACGTAACAGATTTGCGTTCAGTAGTTCAAATGTAGCGAATGTTAGTTTTAATACTAGAGTAAACTGATCTTTAATCATTATCTGTGTTATTTTTTCGGTTTATTTTAGTTTTAAAGCGAGTACGTAAACAATTTTAATTAAAAAAAAAACTTATAACTCATTTAAAAATTAAAATATCGGGAAAAAACCGACCAACAAAACACAGATGACGTTCTTCCGTTAAAGTTTGTTTATAGTTTAGTTGCCAGTTACATTGAAAAGCTAACATTGAAAATGTGCACTGGTGTTCGAACTCTTTACAAAACGAGCAAAAGCTTCACCATTTATTCGTAACCCACAGTCCTGTGCTCGGCATTTTCGCTTCTACAGGTTTTACAACAACCTTTATATATACAGGTTTATAACAACCACGTGGACCCTTAAACGTCCCGACACCGATTGGGAACCACCGGGTGCCGTAGTGACGGTTATTTTTTATCGTCGTTCTCGCATGGAAAGCCGACGAATAATGATTATAATGTGTCGCCGCCGATTGCGGCCGCTGTCACGTCGTCTCAAGTTTTGGCACGGCCGACCCAAGAACGTTCGCACCGTCGCGCGGTTAATTATACACCAGCGCGTGTACCTGTCTGCCTGTGAAGCATCGTTTTTGCGCGCGCCCGTGGTGTTACCCGAATGGGTAATAACAACGATAATATTCTTTTACGAACACCAACACGTCGTTGGGAACACGTTTTCTCTACCCCTGTTCGTTAGCACCTTGGTCAAGAATGTCCACCGAGGATCGCAAGACAAGATCACCGATCCCGGAGTTTCGTGGTCACACGTTAGGTTTTCTGATACCTGATACCCGTTTTGAAATCGCTGATGCCGCCAGTGATGGTTCCAAAGACTTGACTTAGGGGGAGGGGGCTAAGTTATAATTTTCACAAAATTTAATGACAAATAAAAAACAACAATTTTTACAACATAAATTTCAGTCTTCTATTTTTTGAATTGTTATATAGTATATTTTATATTTATATTAACTAAAATAGTCGATAGTATAATATTATGTTTTTTTTTTTTGTTATTGTGCTTGTAATTTTTTCTTAACATTATAAAATGTTTAGAAATACAAATTTGTGGGGCCGGGGCCTTTAGGACCCCCTCTAGAACCGCTCCTGGATGCCACAGCACTCACCTGGATCGAAATCTTGTACCTACGAACGGCTATGAGTCGGTGACTCAAATATCGTGTGATTTAACGTTTTTTTACCCGGGTTGTCGGCACGATAACGCACCTTTAGTAATTCGCACTGGGTACGTCGCAGTGCCCCACAGTGGTCTGTATTGTAAATTAGCTTGCCAAAACCTATTTTTAAAAATACGTTTATTTTATTATTTGTTATCAAATTATTAAAACTGATTACCTAATTGAATAATATTTAATATTATGAGAAACTTATATATCTTATCAAGCTAATAAAATTACGATTAGGGAACAGAAATGTCGATTAACGAGGCCATACCACGCATTATTCTGTCTTTCACGTTTAGTGATCTGTGCCGTGTGCATGTACTTAAGTTATAATTTTTCTTTTTGAAACCTAAAGTATGGACATTTTTGCAGAAGGTAAGTGTATTACTAATATTATTTTTATGTTTTTTATGATTTAGTAGATACAACGATGTTTTATTTATTATGGTTAATTGTTATTATTAGAACTTAAAAAGGTATCACTAATAAATTACTAATTATTTTATTTTATTTTATTTTATTTTATTTGTTAACGGGCTGGGCCCTTTACAACAGTTTAACATAATACAGTAGTATATAATTTAAATAATTAATACAAAGACACAATTAAATTTATAAGATAATAATTACGGAATAATAAGCATAATAATGATTATAAAACAAATATAAAAATATATAGTAATAAATGTATCAGTTTTGATGAACGGTGCTCTCATTGGCCAGCCGCATCATGCGGTCTAACGGATTATTTCTGCCATAGTTGGTAGTCTGCGCAGGAACAACGAAAAGAGCATGGTATCTAGTAGTACGGGAAGGAACTTTGAAATTGAATAACGAGAGAAGTGAGGGAGCATCTATACGACCATCAACCAGTTTATTCAGAAACTCTATGTTAGCGTTAACTCGCCTGTCAGCCAGTGAAATGAGGCTGAGTTCCTGCGTAACTAAGAAATATTCGTGGGGAGGATGATTTATTTTTAAGACAAAAGCAGCGCAAGATAAGAACCGTCTCTGCACACGTTCTAGTTGACAGGAGTCAGATACCGTATAAGGGTCCCATAGGACCGATGAATACTCTAATAGTGAACGGATCAATGAGCAGTATAAAGTTTTTAATGAAGAAGATAGATTGAACTCTTTTGATATGCGCATTACAAATCCAAGCGTTTTCAAGGCTTTGCAGCATATCATTTCAGTATGGGAGTGAAAGTTGAGATCGTAATTAAAGATAATACCTAAGTCTTTCTTACTAAATACCGATGATACACTTGAACCATTGATGGAGTAAGTATAGTTAATAGGAAAGCGGTGTTTTAAAAATGACATTTATTTACATTAAACTGAAGACCAATATTATTAAACCACGAGACCAGGTTGTTGAGATCATTTTGAAGCGTAGAGCAGTCCGATAAGTTTTCAATTTTCCTAAAGAGCTTCAAGTTGTCGGCAAACATGAGTAGTTCACAGTTTTTGACGATTTCCTTGATGCCATTTACATACAAAGAAAACAATATTGGAGATAAATGTCCTCCTTGTGGAACTCCAGAAGAGACCTTTGAGATGGATGATTTGCATCCGAACACTTTTACCCACTGGACTCTGTCTGACAAATAAGATTTGAACCAAGACAACAATGGTTCACCGAACCCAGTTTTGTATAGGGTCTCGATTAGGTGGCCATGGTCGACTCTATCGAAGGCTTTAGTAAAGTCTGTGAAAATAACATCAACTTGGATGTGCTTTTCAACAGCCTTCAAAACAAAGTTGTTAAAAACGAATAAATTAGTAGTGGTCGAGCGACCAGGTCTAAACCCATGTTGCTCGTCAATTAGAATAGAGTTAATTGGCGATTGAATACTTCTCAATACTAGAAGTTCAAACAGTTTGGATATGTGGCTCAAAATAGAAACAGGTCTATAATTTTTGACATCAGCCTTATCACCAGATTTAAAAATAGGAGTGACAGAGCTAATCTTGAAAGAAAAGGGGAAAACTCCATTATCGATTGAACGCTTAAAAAGTAGCCACAGTGGAAAACATAATGAAGATTTCACATTGTATAAGAATATACCTGACAAGCCGTCGGGGCCTACGGACTTAACATTTTTTAGTGCGTCTAGATCAGCGTCAACATCATCGATGTTGAATGAGCAAGAGCTAGGTAGCTAGCTAGCTAGGTAGGTCATGGAACAAAAAAGGAGACGAATGGTCATTAGACAAAGGAGGAACATAGACTGTATTGAAGTAATGAGAAAATAAGTTAGAGACAGACTCTGTACCCGAGCTTTGTAAATTCTCAAAATGAACTGAGTAGGGAATTTCGTTGTTAGATTTATTAACTCGGACAAAGTCCTAAAACGACCTGGGGTTAGATTTTAGCATAGACTCAGTGCGAGACAAGAAGACACTATGGCATCTCTTGTATTCTGTCTTGTAAGAGGCACGAAGTGCAGAAAATTCCGCATAATCAAATTATTACTGTTAAAAAACTATTCTATAATATTCTACATACTCTTGGGTGTTTAACCTAATATAATTTTTTTGCGCATACTTGCGTATTAACTTGGCATAATTTTTTCAAATGTGTAATGTATCTTGTTAGAAAATTTAGGAAAAAAAGCCGTTTCAATAATAATATTTTATTTTTATTTATTTTATTTTAGCGAGTTGTAGTCGTGATTTTAGAAATCAGAATTTCACTTACAATGATTTATTTAATTTATTACAAGGAAACGGACCACTAAATCCCCAGTCCAAACAGTCTAGAGAATTTTTGTTTAAAAAGTTATGTGAAAAGTATGATGGGAAAAATTGGATGCTTGAGTACACAAATAAAATAAATGCTGGCTTAAATAATTATACGATAGTTTTATCACGAAAATGGATACAATGTAATAGAAATATTCACATTTTTAATAAAAATAACAGTGCATGGTTAATTAGAAATATTTAAACAAGAAATATTTAAAGCACGGAAAAATGTGATTCAGAACAATTTTTGTTCAGAGATGGGCTTATTAGTTGATGTGGTATTGCAAGGTTATCATACATTTTTGTAACCTTATTTTTTATTTTTCTTAAAAACTATTTGTTTGGTGTAATCGTTATTTTTATAGGACACGGGACGACAAATGATGGAAATACTGCTAGGACATTTTTCAGAAATGCAGAGAAATCGGCAGAGATCACAGGAGTTAATTTAAACCTGATTGAACGTTTTAAAAATATTTTAATGGTTATGGCAAGTGGCCAAGATATTGATACAAATTCATTTGATGAGTATGGTATACAAACAGCTAAACTTTTCGTTTCCTTACATCCCTGGTTTTATATGCCATCCAGCTTACATAAAATATTAATACACGGTGCTGATGTTATTCGTTATGCAGTTTTACCAATAGGTAAGTATTTATATTTTTTTTATTTTTTTTTTTTTTTTGAATAATGAAGCACATTTAAAATTTTATTTTTAGGATATTTATCAGAGGAAGCTCAAGAATCTCGAAATAAAGATTTCAAAATGTACAGAAGACACCACACAAGAAAAAATTCAAGAATAAACACAAACAAAGACCTCTTACATGTGTTATTAATATCATCTGACCCATTAATATCGACCATAAGATTACTTCCAAAAAAAAAAATTACAAGACTTATCAAATTAAGCTAAATCGTTATTAAATGTAATGCAGTTAGACGAAACAAATTTGAACAGTGATTGTGATAGTGATAGTGACATTATTATAATATATTGTTAACGTACTTTTTTATAGTTAATATAACTATTAACTATAATTACTTACAATGTTAAATATTGATAAATGTATATAATTTAATTTTAAAAATTAAAAACATCCCATATTACCCATAACCTGGGGGTTGATTACAGAATGAATATTATATTTAAATACACCCTTAGAACATGTAAATTAATTGATGTTCAATATACAAGTTTTATGAACATTTAGGAAAGTAGCTTTTTTCCCCTAATTAGGGGCTGATTTAAAAACTGATAAGAAATTTGGATTCAACATGTTAAAAACTAATAGAATTGATATTTAACATAATTTTTTTAACTCATATTAAAAAGGTATTAATTAATGTAAGCTAATTTACAATACAGACCACTGTGTGCCCCTGCGAAATCCTCAGCGTCCACAAACAACGACAGCTATGACGTGCTTGTCAATTTTACTCATGATCTGCAGCTAAAGTCTATTGACACGTCTACGTGACTATAACGTGTTATCTCCTAAATATTTCATACGACGAAAACGTAAATTTATACATCAAATTTCGGTCGATCCTGCAGCCAGGAAAACCTAAATTGTTAATGATAACAATCTGCTCCGTCAAGATCGAATTAATAAATTTCCATATTCGAAAACAGCAGAATATCGTTATCATCACTCGTACTCTGAGTATTCTTGTCATCATTCTAATACATCGTTATAATATATTTGATCGGCCGGTCGAAAGAGTGACAATTGGCTGCTAAAGCAATCTTATAAAATATATATATATATGCTTATTTTTAGAGATCAAAATTATATTATGTATAGGATGCGATACGCGAAGGGGGTACACAGGTACAGGAGAAACCAAGTGTCCTAGAAAATACACCCACTGCGATGAGTGCGACGTTACAGTGTACACTCATATTATGTAACGTAATATATATTAGTTCGTATAAATGTGTATAGAAGTACAAAACGAATGTGTGATTGCGTCTGCTGTGTGCGTACGCACCTACTCGTAGTAGGTATTGTAATAATAATAATACAATAATATATAGTACGTGTGGCGACGAGATCGATATGTGTATGGCGTATGAACGTCAAAACACGAGTGATTGATAATGAATAATCGAAACGCGACCCGAATATTTCATTGGCGAATACACACACACACGTATTTGTACACGTAGAAAACACGAAAATAAGTATTTCCCACTGAGGACTAGTCGCGTAGCGTATTTAAACAGATGATCTAATTCGTCGTACAACACAATGTACATTATAATACCATAAATAAATAAATACATAAATTATAATATATCAAGCGAAACTCTTCGATTCTGCGGTGTATTCCACAGGAAATCAACCTAATATAGTAATAATACATTAATAATGACCTGTTTTTACTCGTACGTTGTTACGCGACGTACTGTTTCGACGATGTGTTGGCGCGACCCTTCGATTTGTTTGTATTAGTCTGCGGGGCACCGCTGACGATGTCAAAATGAAAGAATATAATAGGTATATATTGTGCCGCGGACGAAATGTCTCATTTTCCGAACAGAAGTTTGTACAATACGGCTGCGGTGGTGGTACCTGTACGCATGGGTGCAACTACAGCCCAAATATTTGGGGTGCTGAAATTGTCGAAAATAAAATAAAATGGTATTTAACTGTAATTACTGTAGATTGTATAGAACTGGAAAAAAACAGGAGTGTTACATTTGAACTCAGAGGTACTAACAACCCTATTGCACCTCCCTAGTTGCGCCTATGCTTGTACGGTACGTGAGGGCCTGTGTGTTCGCGCACTACACGAATTACGATGTATCCGTGTCTGCGCGGCGTGTGCCATGCACAGGGACCGGAAGACGAATCGACAGACGAAAATGGAAACATATTATATTAATATAGATAGATATTAAATAGATACTATTTATACGGACTTTCAAAAGGCGTTTGATAAGGTGAATCATAATTTACTTTATCATAAATTAAAAAACTTTGGTATAGGTGGGAACTTTTTAAAATGGTTATTTTCGTATCTTTCTGATCGTACTCAAGTAGTTAAAATTATGTCTTATGTTTCTGATGATTATCCTGTCTTATCAGGTGTCCCTTAGGGCAGCCATTTAGGTCCTTTACTATTTTTAATTTTTATTAATGATCTCCCACTAGTCCTTGATGGTTCTATAAACATTTTATTATTTGCGGATGATGCGAAGATTTTCTGTACAGCTAATTCTTTAAGTGATGCTGAATCTCTTTATGCTCTCCGTTATGCTTAAAAACCTTGTATACATCTTTAGTTAGATCCAATCTTGATTTCGGCTCCGTAATCTGGTCATGCAAATACTTGACATATATAAATGATTTTGACAATGTACAATATAAATTTTTAAAAAGGATTTCATACTTGTCAAATATTCCATTATCTAGGGACTCTCTCTATCTAACTCAAGATTATATTAGCCTTGTTTCTCTTTCACTTAGACGGAAATTAACTGATATTATGTTTGTCTATGATCTTATTAATTACAATATTGTGTGTCCCGAATTGTTGTCTGAAATCAGCTTTCGAATTCCATATCTAATTACACGTAATTCAGAGTTATTTTTAGTTCCTCATTATAAAACGAATAGTAGTACCAATTCTTTTTTCCCTCGAGCTTTAATGTTAGCTAATAAAATTTGTATACATTTAGACATATTTTTTCTCTCACGCGAATGTTTTAAATCTAAATCTATGTTATTATTAAAAAATATTGATTGATTGATATGTAAAAAAAAAAAAAAAATAAATGTTTATAATGTAACTATAATTTTTAGTTTATTACTTTTAGTTCAGAGTTATTTTTTATATTATTTTATGTTTTTTGTTAGGTTTTACTACACTTATTTAGTTTTTAGTTTTTATCTGATACGTTTCCTTTATATAATTTGTAAAAGGGTATATACCCGTTGATATACAACATAAATAAATAAATAAATAAATAAATATATTCATCAGGGCTGTTGGGCGTTCGTGCGCGGAAGACTGTCATTTCGCTGGAATAGGCATTTATGGGCTTAATATACGTGTTCTCTGCGGGCTTGCAATAAGCGTTCAGGACGAATCGTACAATGTTGTGTCGTTACTCGCGCGCCGCCCAAGTTAAAATGTCTAAACCATCGTTTATTGGCACGGCCATGTTTGTCCGGAGTCAAAACGTCGACATCAATTATAATAATTCCGTGTGTACACATAAATATTATGTGTTCGCTTGGACTCCATCAGAGTCGTGTGTCAGATTCGTTTTTTTTCCTCTTCGAATTAGAGCTTCTAGTAAAAACCGATAAGTTCGACAGTTATAGACAATAATAATAACAATCGGTACAATTAAAACACCATAAATAACAAAATTACAAAATATTAAATATAGAATATAAATAACGAAGTGGATGGTGGATGAAGGAAGAATAAGAATAATTGTAAGTTTACAACTAGAATTTAGAATGTCGAAGATATTAAATAGGATTTTGAGAGGAGTTAAAAGCAGGGTTTAAATTGGCAAAAAAAGGACAGGCAGACTCTAATCTATATATATATATCATTCTCGGAGTTCCATATATTCCTATAAAATGACTACCTAGGTAATTATTTATAAATAGGTATACTGAAGTACTGTTAGAGAACAATTTTCGCCACAAACTATGTGCTGTATAAACTTGTATATTATATACTTATTGTTTGTAAATATATTTTAATAAAATTAAAATAAATTTAAAAAAGGAACATATAAGTATAAACTACTATATAATTTGTAATTTATATTTAATATGAGTAAGTTTAGTTTGTAGAAAACTGTTTATCTATACCTAGTGACCTCAGCTAAATTGCAAAGCAAATATTTCAACTGTTTTATTGTAAATGATTATTTTTAACAAGTAGTTGAGTATTTCAGTAAAATTTTCGGAGAAACGTTAAAAGAGACGCTTTATAAGCGCTGTAAGATGTAGAGGGACTAAGTTCCCTCGCGTCCCCCCTTTAAGCCCGGCTTAATAGAACTAATAGGATATTACGTTAGTAGATAAAGAGGGACAATCAAAGAGAATATGAGATAGATCACAGATGGTTTCTTCTAAATGGAGGGTACCAGGCATGGTTTTATAAGTAATATTGATTCTCATGGACTATCTAAATTTAAAAATAAACATAAATACGTAAAATATTTATTTTAAATACATTTTGTACATAATAAATAAATTCTGTGAAGTATCAAATATACAAATAATAAAATTTTAAGTATTTATTTTATTAGATTTATATTATTATTCCATTAAACCTATTGATAGGTAACTTTTAGCCTAAAGGATAAGTAAATAAATAAATTACTATCTTTAATGTTATTATTTAATTGGATAAATTGAAACGTTTTATGTTCTTTGTTTATCATCATGACATTATAATTCGTTACTAATCCTTACATGTTTTGTTCTGAAAAAATATTTTGTTGATAATTCATCGTCCATAATTATTAAGTATTAAAATATATAGGTAACCATAATTTTTTAAATATTACGAAGTCGGCAAATTTAATCAGTTAAAAGTTGAAATGACGCCCCTGGGCCGCACTAAATTTTTAAAGGGCCGCGCAGTGGAGACCGCTGCGTTATAGGTACCTACTTCTAAAGAAAAGAGTTTACATATTGACCCGCACATCGTATAGTATTGTAGTATTAATACGGAACAACTCGAAGATTCGCATTTGATTTACAGGTGGAAATAATATAACCGATAATATATTAAGTAGTATAAATAAGCATATATAAATTAAATTATAAAATGGATTTCGGAAAAGCTCAGCAGTCAAGTTCGCAAGTCGATATCGAAAAATAATTGAACCAGGAACGCTTCGAGTGAGACGTACACCTGGGATATCATCTACTCACGGCTAAGATCCGAAACGCAACAGCCGCATTTACGTCACTCCACGCGGCCCACAAATGTAT